TTTTCTCTTGTAAATTGCAACCACAAAGTTGCCCTTCAAGACTAAGATCATTATAGGAAGGAGCAATGTTATATTGCAGCATAAAATACTTTCTCCAAGTTGTTTTTCTCTGTGAAAGGAAAAAGCAGAAGGAAGAGTAAATGGCAGAATGACCAGAATAAGGAACAGTCTGCCATTATTCAGAGTCAAGTAAAACAGGGTAAAGCTAAATATTCAATTAAGGATGCCATAAAGTAGAATGACTCTAAGTAGAACTTGAGATTCAATTATACAAAATACTGGTACCCTGTGCCCATGACACGTTTAAATCTGCATGGAAATTGAGTTTGTTTACAAATCTTACTCCGATTATTGTTCCATGAAAAAAAAGAAAAAAGCGTTTTAGCTAATGAAATGCATAACCTATGTATTTCAGAGCAGGTGTAACCATTTATGATCATTACGGCATTCAAATTATAACCTAATAACTATAATTTCTTTCTTTTAAAAAACAGATGAGGCAGCATCTACAGTTCCAAGCAGCTCAGCAGATGGAGGAGAGAACCTGGGCAAGGAAAAAGGTACAGATCACGAAACTGACTAACAAAAACCAAATCCTCAAAGGGGATTTTAAAAAGCAATATTTTCTGTTAAGCCTACGAAAACCCACACTCGAGCTTTAAAGGCCAGATGTCAGATAAATACTTCTGGGATGTCTTTTAGAAAAGCCTTTTTAATGAACCACTTGGCATCGTAGTTGTGCCAGTGGGGATCGATGCCATGCATTTTCAACTGCAGCCACTATAGATTTCCCATAAAAATATCTTGTGGGTCATAGAGAACTCTAAGGCACATATCTGTGGGAATGTTCACATCCATAAATGTAGGTTTGCTTCCATGACAGCAGCATTTGGTTCAATCTGCTGCAGCGTGGCCCAAAAGGAAATAAACAAAATGGACTGTCCAAGGCAGAGGTGAAGGAAGGTCCTCTTTATTTATGATAGACTGTGCTGGGCACTCTGGTCTTTTTTTTAAACATGGCTTGTAGTCTTGATTCCTGGTGATTACATGGACACGTCCCTGCAGTTTTCTAGGCCAGATTTTCAGAAGTGGTTTAGTCTGTGATTAATCCTTAAAAATCAAGGAGAAAGGGGAGCAAATGACAGCAAGTTGAGAAAACAGCTACCTAATTTGATCTTTCCAGCTGAGTTTTACCCTCTTGGGTTGTTTGTCTTTCAGCAAGGGATGAAACACAGAATCGTACTGTTCTTGCATGGCATCACTGCATTAATTGCTAACACTTCCTTTTAATTCTTCTGGATCCATCAGTGATGAGCATGGAACATAATTTTAAAAATTGTAGCTGTGAATAATTCAAAGCAGGGTCTTTCTGTGTCAGCATAAATCATTCAAGCAAGAGCAGTGGAAAATTAATGCATGATGTGATGTGATGTGATGTATTTATTTATTACATTTATATAGCTGCCCATCTACCCAAGAAACTCTGGGTGGTGAACAGAAATAAAACTTAACCAAATAATACAAATACAGTTCAGAAGAAACTGGGTCAAGTTCCCTAAAAATTATCTTACTGACATATAAAACAAAACCACACCCATACCAGAGCTCCACCAACATCCCTGGCCCCAGTGCTTGGGGGAAGAGCCAGATTTTGCAACCTTCTGAAAGACCAATAGGGTTGGGGCTATCCATATCTTAGGGGTAGGCTGTTTTACAAGACAGGCACCATGATAGATGTAGAGAGTAAGGAAGGTGACCTTGACAGAGATAGACCAGATCCATTACCAAAGCAAAAAGTGGAAGAGCATGGCTTAAATCCAAAACAAGAAGGCATGCACAAAAGACTCAGGTAGACACCTCTCTAATTCACATGAGTATAAAGGGGTGGGGTGGGGGAATAAAGCACAGTCTTGCAAGATTCTATTGCTATAGCCAGTATTAATAAACATAGTTTTAACCTTCATGTAGAACTGATTTCTTGGCTTGGTCTACATAGTAGGGCTGGCAGCATGCTTCCTGGGGCCCATCAGATGACACTACTTTACCAAGGGGATTCAGAGCATGCCCACTCTGTGGGAAAGAAAGGAACCATCAGGGATAGGCAGTTCCACAGGTAATCTGGTCCCATGACATGCAGGGCTTTAAAGATGAAAACCAACACCTTGAATTGCACCTGCAGGCTTACTGGGAGCCAGTGCAGCTCATGTAACATAAGTATTGCATGGGCGTATCATGGCATTCTGTACATGCTGTTGTGTTTTGGAGTAGTTGAAGTGTCTGAATGCTCTTCAAAGGTAGCATGTTGCAGTAGTCCAACTGAAAGATACTAAGGCAGGGGTGACTGTGAGTAGTGCTTCTCAATTTAGGAATGGGCACAACTAGTACACAAGATGTAACTATGCAAAGGTCTTCCTAGCCATGGCTACCACCTGTCCAAGCAGGAGCTGTGAGTCCAAGAGAACCCCCAGACTGCTTACCAATTCTTCTATGGGGAGTGTGAGTTCCATCCAGAATTAAATGATATCAAATCACTAGGTGCAAAGGACCCTAAAACCCATAGCCATTCAGTCTTGTCAGGGTTGAGCCAAAGCCAATTCTTTCCCATCTTGATCCATTCAATCTGCATGCACTGAGAAAGCACCTAAATAGCATCACTTAGATAGCGCAGGGCAGACATGTATAACTGAGTATTATCAGCATACTATTGACAGTTAATCCTGTGCTGACAGATAACCTCACCTAGTGGCTTCTTGTAGATGCTAAATAGAAGTGGGGAGAGAGTTGAGCCCTGTGGCATCCCACAAAACAGAGGCCTTGAGCTGGATCTTTCCTCTCCACCAACACCACCTGGAACCAACCTTGGAGGAAGGAGGAGAACTGTGCCCCCCACTCCCAGCCCTCTCAGATGGTCCAGAAGGATACCACGATCAGTGATCACCTTCTTCTTCTACATCAGCCTTTCTCAAGTTTGTTTGTTTGTTTACCCAAAGGAACCCTTGAAATACTCTTCAGTCTTGGGGGACCCCTGCATAAAAATTATTACATCTACCCTAGCAGAAAGTTGAAAAAACAATGTTTATTTGTTTTTTCAATCATGATTTCTCACAGAACCGTAGCAATCTCAGATGAGAAAGGTAGTATCTAGGTAGTATCACATTATTTCTTGTTGTGGGGGTGGGGGCAATAGCCACCCACCAGGGCAAAGGTACTTTGTCATGATGTTTCTGTAATTATGGGTTCTTTAGCACCCAGATTTATAATCTTGCCCCCCCCCCCAAGATACCAGGGTGATTGATCATGAGATTGACGTTTGTGCATTCATATCACTAAAGGCACGTGTGTGGGCACAGGTACTTCCTGCTCCCCAAGCTGCATGCAATAAATCTATTGATGGGAATGGGAAGCTAGTTATGTGATCAGGGAGAGCAAAGGGTTAATTACATTGATAGCAAGAACAGAAAGGCTATTTACATTGAATAGGTGAGGCTGCAGGCTCCTTATCTGCTTTTTGAAGACTTCCTTGGAAGAAGCATCAGAAAGAGACTACCTTGATTAATAAGGCACTGGTCAGCCCCGCAGAATAATTTTTACAACATTTCTCTATCTGCTTACTTTGACCCCTCTAACTTTGGGATACAGATTAAGCAATTTCACTGGGGTGGGGGAACCCCTAGATGGTATTTCTCCAACTGGAACAGACTTTCCAGTTTGTAGAAATACAGAGAGATGCCTCATTGTTTTCTTCCATTCCAAGGGAAAATGCTGACAAGTTAGAATGGTGGGAATAATAATTAAAGTTCCCCTGCACTTCAGCAGTTTTGTTTATGGTTTCTTTCTATCCTTGACACTGATAGGCTGCCCAATAAGTAAATTACCACAGTATGATACATGGATGTCCATAGGAGAGTCAAAGTCTGGAAGATGGAGAGTGCAGTTTTGCAATCAAAGGCTTGTATCTTTTGTATGTGCATGTGATGGCATTATATGTACAACACGGGCGTGCCTTCAGTCACAGCAACACAGTTTTTCACCCATATACACAGAGATGCTGCTGGTGTATTAGGACAAAAATGTTACTTTGGATAGGATGCAACTTAATTCCCAATCTAGGTTTAGAATTCTTCAAAAAGCAGCAAGTCAAAACGGGGGACATCACTCTTTCCCTATTTCTATATTTTCATTTATGCCACCAGTGAAACAAAGAAGAAAGTAATAAAGGGTTGGGGGAAAAAAGTATAGTATATACTTTTGCCATTTCTGAGTTGCTGCTATTCTTGCTATGACTTTACACCTGATCTTGCTTCTTAACTGTTAGGTGGAAATTGAACAGGGGCATTTCATGTCAAGGTAAACATTTAAATAAAGTATGTTCGTAAATAAGGTAACATTCAGTCAGACTATTTCCCGTCTCCCCGGCCAGTATATTTCTTCCAGCAGAAGTATAATATCTTGCAGCCTCTGCAGCTTGTTCGGTTTCTTTGTCCTACACTCGAGACTAGTTTTCTAATTTTCAGATCTACCATCTGGTCTTGCTTTACTTGGCCTGTCTTTTCATAGGAAAGTCCCAATTGCTCTGTAATTTCTCCCAGTCCACTCAGATTCATCTCCAGCAAAAACTGGCTCAAGTCAAGCACTTTCTTTGACCCAAGGTTAACCCAAAGCTAACCGTGAATGAATGAATGCAGCTGTGCTAGTCCATTATGAAAAGAACACACACACACACACACACAGTCGTAACGTTTTAGGGCTAACTAAAATGTTAAGAGAAGAAAAGCACTTATTTAAGATTAATTTAAGCTTTGGTGATCACTGATAAATAATGTCATATAAAGATTTACCAATTAAAATGAGTCACTCCCAACCGCTAATATTTCAGTGTTTTCAGATTATTACACAATTTATGATTGAATATTCTCATGTATGTACAATTCTACACACCAGTTTTTGAAAAAACCTTTCATGCTGTCAGTGGATCATAATAAAAACCTCTATCTGTTTCTTTAAAGTGAGATACAGATTTAAAGGAGAAAATGAAAAAGAATAATGGCCTTGCATATTTAAAAATATCCCAATCAAACTGATTAATGATGGTTTAAAATAAAATGTCATCTTTCTCACTCAATGGAAAGTAATGCATGCAAATTAAACCATATTTATTTCTATGTTTTAATACACATTATATAACCATTTTCTAGATAGATTCACTAGAGTTGTGCAGTGTTCTAGATCCAAAAATAAAAAGGGGTTTCAAAGCATGCAGGGGCAAACACGTAGCACCTGTCTGCAGTTCTTCAACCAAACACAACTTTACCAGGATGGTGTGGCAGAGTCCAGTTCCTGCTGAAATTACTAGCACTTATTTGATGCATAAAAAGGATTTTATATAAAAACAGTGTGAGCAATGTCACATACAGTACATGAAAGTTTATTGAGGACAGCCATCCTCAATCTGCTATTCTCGAAATATGTTAAGGACTACAACATAATCGCTAAAAATTCAGGGAGTTGTGACCCCAACTTGCATGACTAGGGATGGCTGATACAGGTGCTTTCCAGATTT